CCCACACCCCACACCCACACCCACACCCACACCCCACCCACATCCACACCCACACCCACACCCTAGTTCAAAAACAAAGTGATTGTAACACTCGTTTTTTGTTCTTCTGTGCAGTTCTATGTATTCAACTTCAAAATATAACATGTGTCATTCAAACGAGAGTGTAGGTAGGTGAATTGTCTCAAGCCGGAGTTCAAATAATGGGACGATTTCGTCACGGTCTAAATTCGTCAAAAATAGTAGTTGTGATTCCTCTCATTCAGCACGGACTGAACGTATTTATTGGCGCTGGTCACACCGCTGCTAAAGGTTATCTAGTGGATTGGTTTGTTGATACTGTCTATTTCCAATTTAAAGTTCACGAACCGTTTTATGAAAACACTGTTGCTATTAGTCAGCGACCATATCGCGTGACTATCATGTATATGGATTGAATAAAAATAAAGAAGGCTATATACATAGAGACTACTTAGGTCTGACCAAAAGTTCTAATCACATTAAATAGAAATATAAAGATAATGAGATATTGTCAATTTTATTTTATCAGATGTTGAGGACAGAGATGTGCACTGCGCCTAAAAAAACGAGGCGAAGGCGGCGCGGAAGGAAGGCGGAAGTCCCAAAATCGTGGCGGACGTGGTCACCGCCATGGAGATTTCTGGTGGAGGCGGCACGGCCGCCTGTGCTTTCTTTTTCAACGCGGTGCGGCCACCCATGCACTTTTTTGCAACGAGGCGCGGAGCGGCACCTCATTTCGAGGACAATTTTCGTTGTACTCCTATATTCATTCTGAAAGAAAGATTTATAATACTAAAAAAGAAAAAGTGTTTATAAAACATAGATAAGTCATAAAAAACATTAGTTATGTATTTCAATTATCATGAAATCAATAAGAATAAGTGATAGGTTTATATATTGAATGAATGAATAACTAATGATATTGAATAAAGAAAAGAAGTTTTTTCTTTACTTTGCTTTTTTTTTGTATGATTTCTAGTCGATGCACAATTTGAACGACAAACTTCGATCTATTCTCCTCCATTTTATTCATCATCAAGTGGCTACAAAATGCGAGCATGTTTGTATTTGTATGGTAATGGAAATGCTCATCGTACACACATGACAATATTTTTTGTTCTCATACGTGGAGAATATGATGCAATTCTTAAATTTCCATTTTGTTATGAAGTAATACTTAGGGCATACCAAAAGCAATGAGGCTGATATCGTATTTTCGTATAGACCGCTTGGAATAATTTTCTTTTTTTATGAAAATATAGACCGTCTTTTGCTCTATCTTTCTATGCTATTTGATCACTATTCAACTCATATCATAATAATAAAATTTTGATAAAAACTGTTTTTTGTTGAAAACTAGCTGGTAACATTAGATCATAATGGGTGGGACATTTATGTATTTCATTTTATTATCACTTAATACGTTGTATTAAAAAAACAAAATATACCACAAGATGCAGCGTGAAAAGCTCTACAATTTATAAAGGACCACTTATTTTATATTTGCACTTTTTATTTTCAAAATGAACAAAACTCTAAGCGACCAAATTTCGACGTTGTGAAAACAAGATGCTTTTTTTTGTATAAGACGAATTCGTTTTTTTCTTATTTCATCTTTTTATTACCTGATCTACTTTATTAGAAAAAGCAAAATACACTACCAGACGCAGCGTGAAAAGCTCTATAATTTACAAAGAACAATTATTAAAAGATGCGATAGAAAAAAAACGAATTCGTCTTTTACCAAAAATAATCTCGCTTTCGCAACGTCGAAATGTGGTCGCTCAGAGTTTTGTCCATTTTGAAAATAAAAAGTGTAGCTATAAAATAAGCGGTCCTTTATAAATTGTAGAGCTTTTTACGCTGCATATTCTGGTATATTTTGTTTTTTTTATAAATGAAAGACATCAGGTGATAGAAAGATGAAATAAGAAGGAACGAAATCATCTTGCGCCAAAAAATATCGTTTTCGCACGATCGAAATTTGACCCCTTAAGGTTTTATCGATTTTGAAAATAAAAAGTGCAGCTAGAAAAAAAAGCCGTCTTATGTAAATTGTAGAGCTTTTCGTGCTGCATCTTTTGGTATATTTCGTTTTTCTAATGAAGCGTATTAAGCGATGAAAAACTGAAATGCAAAACGCAGCCAGTATATTTTAAACTTTTGGGTACGGGTCAAAAATGACCCAGGCCGAGAGTACTAGGATTAATGGTAGGAAAACAAAATAAATAAACTTTAATAGTTAACATGCATTATAGCTGTTGTTTCTTTGTTTTCTCCATTGTCTATAATATTATTTCTGGATGATTTATTTAAAAAATTTTTCTATCCTATATATGAATAAACTTATCTACATCTGGATAATCTCATTTATTGTATGCTACTTTTTTCGACGTAACTATCATTCGATTTTTTTCGATATTTTTTTCGGTCTTTTTAGCATTCGACATTTTTTCGACGTTTTTTGTTTCGACTTTGTTTTCGGCCTTTTTTTATAGCATTCTTTCATTATTTTTAGACGTGCGATATTTCGTTCCACATTCTGAATACTAGGATGATTAGGAGGTAATGAACATTGTTTAATATCAAGTGCACGTTCAAAATATGAGAGTGCTTTCGAATACTGTTTCATATTTGCATAGACAAAACCAATGTTGATGTAAGAAGTAGCCAACGAAGGATGATTTGAAGGAAGAGTTTTTTGACAGATTTCATGGTCTTTTTCGTAAAATGAAAGTGCTTTCGGGTACTCTCCCATATTGTAATACACTAAACCAATATTGTTGTAGGAAGTAGCCAAATCAGGGTGATTTGGAGGAAGAGCTTTTCGTTTGATTTCAAGCGTTTTTTCGTAAAACGAAAGTGCTTTCGAGTAGTCTCCTATGTTGTAATACACTAAACCGATGTTATTGTAGGAAGTAGCCAAATCAGGATGATCTGGAGGCAGAGCTTTTTCGAAGACTTCAAGTGCTTTATCGTAAAATGAAAGTGCTTTCGAGCACTCTTCCATTTTATGGTACACCAAACCGATGTTGTTGTAGGAAGTAGCTAAATCAGGATGATCTGAAGGCAGAGCTTTTTCGAAGATTTCAAGTGCTTTGTCGTAAAACGAAAGTGCTTTCGAGTACTCTCCCATGTTTTTATACACCGAAGCGATGTTGTTGTAAGATGTTGCCAAATGAGGATGATTTGGAGGAAGAGTTTTTTGACAAATTTTGAATGCTTTTTCGTAAAATGAAAGCGCTTTCGGGTATTCTCCCATGTTCTTACACACCGAAGCAACGTTGTTGTAGGAAGTAGCTAACAAAGGATGATTTGGAGGAAGAGTTTTTTGACAGATTTCAAACGCTTTTTCGTAAAATGAAAGTGCTTTCGCGTACTCTCCCATGTTGTCATACACCGAAGCGATGTTGTTGTAAGAAATAGCTAAATCAGGATGATTTGGAAGAAGAGTTTTTTGATCGATTTCAAGTGCTTTTTCATAAAACGAAAGTGCTTTCAAGTACTCTCCCATGTTGCCATACACCGAAGCGATGTTGTTGTAGGAAGTAGCCAACGATGGATGATTTGGAGGAAGAGTTTTTTGATCGATTTCAAGTGCTTTTTCATAAAACGAAAGTGCTTTCGAGTACTCTCCCATGTTGTCATACGCCGAAGCGATGTTGTTGTAGGAAGTAGCCAACGAAGGATGATTTGGAGGAAGAGTTTTTTGCTCGATTTCAAGTGCTTTTTCATAATACTCAATAGCCATCTCATAATAGCCTTGATGAAACTTGATAGCTCCAAGATTATTATTATAAATTGCTTTTTCACTCTCGTCGGATGTCTGTTCCAGCAGTACTTTGTAGAGTTCTTCAGCCCTGTCAAATTGACCTATTTTCACTAGCAGTTGTCCCAGTCGTTCCCATCCTGTTTCACCTGGAGTCTCTTCTCGTATGCGATCAGTAAGAGTGCGAAGCTGTTGATCATCATCCGAAGTGAGTGTAAGATCCACTTGATAAAGTTCACTGTTCTGATCAATTTTGGTAATTTTATCAATACGAAAGACGGTGTTCATAGAGAAGAGAATTTCGTCTTCCTGGAAGTAACTTGCCTTTTCGATGGAGGCGAATGGAGCGGACGTTATTGTAGGATCAATAGACATTTGAAAGAGAATGCCGATTTTGTCAGGTTTTGTCAAAGCATGTTTAGCATAGGTGAGAGCCATTTTTTGATTTTTGCTGGTGGACAAGAATTTGTCAAACGATATAAGGCCATCTTTTGATTTCAGAAGTTTTTCAAAGTCTGTCTTGGAAAAACCTTGTCCCCGGTAAACTTTAAAGCACTTCCCATGATAATCATTGACCTGGTTTTGGTGTAGTTCTTTAATTTGACGGTGAAGGTCACGAATAAAAAAGCCCATATTAATAATAATGTGGGCGTCCAATGTGGGAACCGCTCGATTGAGCATGTGATAGGTAAAACATTCACGTGTGTACCACCAGATTGACTTTTGTGGATGATAATCACTTTGAAATTCATTAATCATTTTTAATTCATACTTATCGTTGTGATACTTTACACGACAATAATCTGCTAAGTTCTTGATAGATTCTTCGCCATATTCCATTTCAAGGAGAATTTCCTTGAATATCTGGGTGTACATGAACGAGGGCTCGAGTTGATCCAAATTTTTATTGAAAGCTGCATCAGATACTTGAACGAAACTTATGCCGATAGAATCTTCGTTGTATTGTTCCACAGCTTGTTGTAATGCTTGACATATTGGCGCAATTTCCGTGCATACACTCTTAATTTTGTCCCATTCTTTTGTCCATTTTTCATGTCGAGATTTATTGGCACAGAAGATGTAAATAGCATCTAACTGTGCCATGGCATGAATATTGGGGACCAGAGATTGACCTAATGATCCTGAGACAATGACGAAAGCTTTTCCATCGTTAATATCAGTGAGTAGCTGGATACATTGATCCGGTTGCGTGAAAATTTCGACGTTGTTAACGACCCTTTGCAGTTGTGCCAAAGTGTTTTGACAATCTTGATTCGATTGGTCGATATTGGCATCCACCCATATAAGCAGAAATTTTTGGACCATGGACTGTCTTGGATGGATGGCATAAAAAGATGTCGTCGCGGTCACTGTTGATGACGCAGAAATGTTCTCCGTTGATTTTTGTCCAATCGTATTATTATGCGTTGCTGTTTGATCGTTAATATGAAGTTCTGAATTAGTCTCGTTGTTTAAACAAGTATCACCTTCTCTATTTATATAGCTGCTGCTTTACTGCTAAATTTTTCTACTACGCAAAATGGTTGTGTTTTTTGTTGACACTCAAGGACGAACTCCGCGTATTTTCAATAGAAAATACTGTTGCGAAGAGCAAGAGAAAGTAATAAAAAACAATCGTAAGCAACGAACAAAGAAAAAAGCCAACGACGTGTTTTGATGTATTGTTACGCTTTCCAACTTTCTCTGACTTTCACCTACGCAGTTAGTATTCCATTAATGCTTGAGGCGCATTCTTTCATCGAATGAATTCTGAGAGGACAGCGCAATTCATTGTTTATTCTTCAT